AGCTTTTTGCTTCCTATCAAAAGCCAGGGACTTGAAAACTACTTAGATCCCTGTAGCCTACAGGGACAAAGTTCATGCAGATCTCAGTGGGAGACGCCATCTCCAGATAGCAACTGGGGCCAGTTTTTGCAGATGGCACGCGCTTAAAGATGCAAGCCTCCATGATTACCAAGAACTGAGAACTCTCTGCAATTAGCAGGAGTGTAACTGGAAAACCGAGGGCTCCTCTGTGCCTTACCAAAAGACATTCCCTCTTCCTCTGGCAAGTTGGAGAAGATAATTTGGCCAGCCTAGGAGGAAGTGATTGATTGAGACAGAAATGGTAGAGAGAAGGATGACTGTGATTTTTACTTTGGTGATGGGCATGAACATAACAAAGAACAGATGGTGGATGCCTTAGTCCCACTGGTGTTATCAATTCCATAGCCCTGAGCCCTGCCCTGCTACAGGCTTGTGTAATTCTCAAGCATGTGCTCTCATGGCCCAAGGGGAGAATATGCAGCACACACCCTCCAGCTGCGAGGTTAACTCAGCAATGCTCCACCTTTGTCATCTTTGGATTCCAGCACTCAGGCCCTGGATATACCTCTCACCAGAAGTGAACACCTGGTGGGGGCTGCAGTAGATCCAATGACCACATCAGCTGCAGTTTGCATCTCGAAGAAATGATTCCAAAGTAACATGACAGGGGACATATGAGATGATAAGTAAACAATAGAGAATAAAAATAATGGAGGAAGAGTTGAGGAAAAGGCCTCCTTTGAGCTAGGATAAAGTCACTTCCTTAGCCAGATCTAAGGGTTTAACTCTTAATTTAGAGGCACCAAGAAGTTACAACACATAGTGCTACTTGAAGCTTATTTTATAGATAACATACTTAACTGTTAACAGATTCAGTTAGCTGTTTACAGTTTAGTTAACTGGATATAGTTCTCAACCCACATGGGGTCAGTCATTTTCAACAAATCTTTTTATTTTCTCTATAGAATTCAGAGTTAAAGAACTCCTTAAAGGATACACAAAACTGTCAACAGTAGTTAAGATTTCAGTGGTCTGGGGGTGAATTCCAGGTAAGTAGTCCCTCTTATCAAATGTTTCTTTAACAATGCTTGTAGCTGTCTTGACGTGACAGCCATCACAAAAGCCAATATTAATCAGATCACTAAAGGGACACAAATAACTGACACTAGCCAAGAAAGAATTCAAAGATATTTTTGAACTAGTTTGGGGCCAACTTTTGTGTGAGAAGAGAAGAGGAATTGAGTTCACTTCATCTGGTGTTAACTGAAATAAGAGTTAATGTGCGAAATATCTTCATCACTGACTAAAACTAAGATCACAGATTAGAGCGCCAAAGGGTGTGACTAGAAGGAAGTGTCAGCATTGCAGAAAAGAATGCAAAACCAGGAGGATCTCATGTTAACAGCTGGCTGCCTAATGGATAAGAAATATGGTCAGAACACAAGGAAGGAGACTGGCGAGTAATGAAGCTGAATTTAAAGGCTTTCAACAAAGCCACCTTCTCTTGAAGAATTACCACTCCTCCTGCTGCCCTCAGGACAATTCCTGAGCGTGCTGGTGAGAGGCTTTTGTTCAATCATCCCCAGGGTCCTTCAGCTCTTCCTTCCCTGATAAAGTAGAGGTGAAGATCAATTTTACCTAAGTAAACATTTGGTTCTCACAGCCATAAGAGAGAACATTCGGTTCTCACAGAAGTACGTACAACTTCTCTTAAGACAGCTCCGTTTTCCTAAACACAGTGTATGAACCCCCAAGATCCTACAATGTTCCCTGGAGTCAGTTTAAAGTGTTGAGTCCTCTCTGGTTCTAGGATTCTAGAAGGATCAAAGTTTATTAACAAATCATATAGCAACTACGGCTGCCCAACTTTTCCACACAGTTTCATCTCTGTAACTACATCATGCTAATGCAATTACTATCAAAATTTAAATAAGTTTTTTTCATAGACATAGACAAGCTTACTCTAAAATTTAGATGGAAAGGGAAAGACCGAAGAATTGCTAAAAAAAAAAAAAAAAAAAAAAAAAGAAAAGAAAAAGAAAAGAAAACAAACAAAAAAAACTAAAAACAAGAATAAAGTGGGAAGAATCACTCTTCCCAATGTTAAGGCCCAATATGTAACTGCAGTATCCAGACAGTATGGTACTGGTAGAGGGAACAGGCAAAGCAATCAGTGGAACAGAATAGAGAACACAGATATAGCCCCACTCAAAATTCCCATTAATTTTAGACAAAGAAGTAAAAGCAATGCAATAGAGGAGAAATAGCCTTTTCAATAAATGCTGCTGGAGCAGTTGGACCTAAACCAATACCAAAATCAACTGAAAATGGATCATGGACTCAAACATAAACATACAACTATATAAGAGAAAAATCTTTGGGGTGTAGGACTAAGCAAAGTTCTTAGACTTGATATCAAAAGCACGAGCCATAAGAAGAAAAATTTATAAATTGGATCTCATCAAAATTAAAAAATTTTGTTCTATGAAAGACTTTGGACAAAGGATCAAAAGACAAATTACAGACAGGAAGAAAATATTTAGAAATTACATATCTAAGAAAGGTCTTGATCTAAAATATATAAAGAACTCTCAACATAAAAAAAAAAAAGGGACAGCTGTCGTCTGAATGTTTGTGTCTCTCCAAAACTCATGTGTTGAGATCTAAACCCCAAGGTGATGGTATTAAGAGGTGGGACCTTTGGGAGGTGATTAGATCATGAAGTGGAGGGCTCATGAGTGAGATCAGTGCCCTTATAAAAGAGCCCAAGGGAGCTTATCTGCCCCTTTCACTAGGTGAGGACACCGGGGAAAAGGACTGTTCTAGGAAACAGGAAGTGAGCACTCACCAGACGCCAAATCTGATCTTGGACTTCCAGCCTCCAGAACTGTGAGAATTAAATTGCTGTTGTTTATAAGTCATCCAGTTTACAGTGTTTTGTTATAGCAGCCTGAGTGACCAAGACAAGGGCTCAAGGCCTCCTTCAGCACCACGTTTTATGACATGTGTTCTGTGAACCGTTTGACTTCGGATCTTAGGGGAGGAGGAAGTAGCAGAGGGATTGGTAAAATGCCAATTCCCCTATACCACTCCAGAAATTCTGATTCCATAGATTTGGGCAGGACCTGACAAATCTGCATTTAAAACAAACTTCTTGGGAGTTTTTTTTATCATTATTATTAAAGTTCGAGAACTCCCACCATGGCCCAATCTACCAAATTATAAAGGAAGAGCATGCTGGGCACAGTGGCTTATGCCTGTAATCCCAGCTTTTTAGGAGGCTGAGGAGAGTAGATCATTTGAGGTCAGAAGTTCAAGACCAGCCTGGCCAACATGGTGAAACCCCATCTCTACTAATAATACAAAAATTAGCTGGGCGTGGTGGTGCGTGCCTGTAATCTCAACTACTTGGGGCGCTGAGGCAGGAAAATCACTTGAACCCAGGAGGCAGAGGTTGCAGTGAGCTGAGATCACGCCACTGCACTCCAGCCTGGGCAACAGAGTGAGAATCCATCTCAAACAAACAAACAAAAGAAGAAGAAGGGCAGCATTAGAAAGAAAACCTGGACTGTGATAGTTGTGCCCTAAAGGGACAAGCAAAAAGAAAGGGGATAAAGACTAGCAACAACCCAGAAGTGTTGTGAACAACAATTTCTAAGAAGTGACCATTCTCTATATTTATTAGGATGTGGAAGAAATGAAGTTCCCTCTCATACACACACATACGAGAATACAAGTCTGAGGACAACTTGCTCCGGGTGAAGAATTTTTTTTAATTCTCATATTCACGCTCAAGGGGAAGGCATATGTTCACAAGGGGCAATGAGAGCCCTGGAGAGACCAGGTTCTCTGAGGGTAGGACACATACTTTGGCAACTTGGGGGACACGTTCTTGAGCTGAACTGGTGTCTCTGGAGCCCATATGAGTTGGGCCTGTGGGGGCACCACAGACAGGGACCCCGGCATTGCTGATAAGTGAAGGGTCTGCCACAGAGGTCTCTAACATGACTTTCTACCACCACCTTTCCCGCTCACTCGCACATCAATAGACACAGGCATATTAAGCGGCAGCTCTTCCTCACCTTGTCATCAAACAGTCTGTTTCTGCCTTCACCATTCTGCATCTGACCTTTCACAGGTAGCAAGAGAAGAGCCTAAGGAGCAGCAGGCAACATGCTGAAGTGCAGAGCCAGGTCAAGGCTGGGTTTGTCTGCGCAGCTGGTGAGTAAGAGGCTGTGACCAAGGCTCTGAGAAATATGAACAGCAGCCAGCCTGACAAAGAGAACAAAGAACTGCCCAGGGGAAGGTGAAGAAGGTAACTGTCAACCCTTCAAAAAGTGAAATGGCCTTTAGTAAGATGAAGGCCAGCCCATAAGAGATGCCAGCCAAGATGGAATAATGCGCAGATTTTCATCTAAGGGTGGGAATGACCTGTTGGCCTGATCCAGGCACCGGGCTTCTGAGATTCCCTTCCTAGCCCTGCCCACACACCCCGCACCAGACGCCCTTTCCCCAGCCTAGGTCCCTGAGTTTCTCATCCGTTGCTCACTTGTGTCTATTGTATGTCTTCTTCGTCAAAATCGACGGGGGCTAATTAGCGGTGAAAACAGAGACTTCAGCTCATTTCCGTTCACCTCATTATTTGTTTCTCTTTTGGGCTGAAGCCAAACAACAAACAAACATTAGCATTCCCCCTGCAGAGCAGGCACATAGACACATGGGAGCATGTTACACACACCACACCCTCACAGCATGCACACATGTACACGCACACGCACACACACCTGCTCCACTGCTACTCGGCTGTGCGAGGTCTCTGTGGCCCCGCTGTCTCGGGGCATCTAGGGTAACACCTCTTTCCATTTCAGACCCGGGACTGGGAAAAACGTAAGAAATTGTATAATGGAATGGCCCTGGGCAAGCAGGGAAAGGAGTTGGGAATTTCCGGAAGCACAATCCCCCCGGGCCAGCACTGGTGTTAATTAAGGGCGCTGCTGGTGTTTTGCAGGCAGCTGTTTCCTCCTCCGGCCCTCCTGTTCCCCGGGCCGCCTGGGCACCGGCGCCTGCACTCTGGCATTCATTGCTCTACCGTAAGCCTTGTTTCTAGCCGTTTTCAATCAAGTGGGAGACCGTCCAAATTTCCTTCTCAATGACAATCAACTGTTCTAAATCCAAGCTCCCATTAAGCGTTCCAGGGGCTGACCTGACTTGGAATTTAAGCAGCAGCCCCGCCCTCCCTGGAGGGAGCGGCAGCCGGGGCTCCAGATGAGGCGGGCCTGCCTCCTAGTGGCCAAGATGCTGCACGGCAGCTCTGAGGGCTCGCGGGCTGTGCAGCCGCCACCCGAGGACACTGGGAGGAGGCACAGTAAGAGAATCCTTAGAGCCTAACTCCCCTGTCTCCGTCGCCCTCGAGCCGTTCCAGTCCCCAAGTCCCATCCCCTTTCCCTCCCCGACATCTCTCCTCGTTGCCCCACTCTGGCTCCGTCGAACTGCAGTGGTCTGTTAGCTGGACTCTACCTCCAGCTTCTGTATCGAATCCATACACCTCACTGCCAATTCGTCTTCCGGACCCTTGTTGTCGATCCTCTATGATCTCTCATTAAGGCTCTGCTGAGCCTCCTCTTTACGTATAGGGAGGATCCTCAAGCGGAGAGTCACACCCTTCCTGGAGAGGGGTATCGCCAGCCACGACAAGGCGAGCCGCCTTTCTCCCCACACGCCCAAAAAGGCGATGACCCTCCCCAGGCCGCGCTCGCGCTGAACCTCTGTTGCTGAGCTGCAGTTCCTGGAGGTGTCCTGTCGCTCAAATGTGGGGACGCGGGAAAAAGATTGAGAAGGTAAAAGTTCAAACCAGGCAAAAGTTCAAACCTCTTGGCCCTCCACAATCTGGCCTCAAGTTTCCCTTCTAGCCTTAGTGCTAGAATAGAATGATATGAAGGGTTAGAATGCCAGGTGTGCTACGTTTTAGTCATGTAACTATGAAAGGTTCTAAAGTCTAAATGTCTTTACAAGGTTGTTATGGAGACTAAAAGAGGTCGCCTGAGTATCACATTTAGCACAATGCTTGCCACATAGTGAATGTTCAATAAATGGCAGCTGTCATTTTCCCTCCCCCGTTAGTAAGACAACTGGTTTGCTCACAGTTCTGATACCGGCCTCAAACTGAACTTTCCATCTCTGCACCTTGGCTTTTGACACCTTATTTGCCTGGAGCATCCACTATCACCACTTTGGTCAAAGCCACTGTCACCTCCTGCAATAGACTAATTCATCTCCCTGCTCCCACCCACAGTTATTTTTAATCTAGCAACCAGAATTTTTTAAAGTGTAAATCAGATTATGTCACTCATCTCAAACCCCTGTTGTAGCTCCCCATTTCACTCCGTGTAAAAGCCAAAGCACTCACCATGTCCTTGAGGCCCTACATGATCTGGCTGTTTCCCCCCTCATATTATTTCCCATAGCTTTCTCCCTTGTTCACTCTATTTCTTCCACAGTGACCAATTGCTTTTGCTGGAACATACCAGCAATTTATTAATAGCCTTTGTGTTGGCTTTTCCCTCTACCCAGAATACTTTCCTCACATACCTGCATAGCTCTTTCCCTTACTTTTTCGTGACTTTGCTCAGCTGGCACATTAAAAAAAAAAAAAAAAAAAAAAAAGCCAGCCAGGCATGGCGGCTCAAACCTGTACTCTCAGCACTTTGAGAGGTGAAGGTGGCAGATAACTTGGGCCCAGGAGTTCCAGACCAGCCTGGGCAACACAGCAAAACCCCATCTCTACAAAAAATACAAAATATATTTTTTGTAGAGGACAGTGGCACACACTTGTAGTCCCAGCTACTTGGGAGGCAGGAGGACCGCTTGAGCCTGGGAGGTTGAGGCTGCAGTGTGAGCGATAATCATGCCACTGCACTCCAGCCTGGGCAACAGAGCAAGACCCTGTCAAAAAAACAAATAAGTAAAAGCCAATCCTGACCACATATTTAACATTTCAAACTGCTGTACTTTCCCCCAGTACTTCCAATCCCCTTTATCTTGCCCAACTTCTCCTTTTCCATAGCACATACCATATTCCTTACTACCTTCTAAAATAATATATATAACGAAGCCAACCATTGGCAAATGAATCTCTCGTAATTTGCTGACGGGAGTGTAACTTGTTACAACTACTTTGGAAATCTTTTAGAGAGTATCTACTAAAGCTAAAAATACCTTATTTTACTCTTGTATGTAAATCTAACAAATTGCCAATCCAACAAAAAGGAGTACTTTTTGTCGGATTTATTTTGGTCATTTCTGTAAATATAATGTTATATAATATAAGATATATACTTATATATTAGTTGCTTTAATCATATAGCTATATAATCATATACTTCATGATCTAATTGTGTCACACATAATAATCTTAGTTGCTTTAATCATTTCGCTAAACTAGGAACAACCCAAATGTCAATCTACAGTAAAATGAATAAATTTTTATTTTTTTCAAACAATAAGTACACAGCAATAAAAAATAAATTATTCCTGGTATTCATTAACAACATGAATGAGTCCAGAATCTAAGATTGAGCAAGAGAAGTTGGAAACCAAAAAATACCTCCTATATGATTTAATTTACTTGAAGTTCAAGAAAGGTAAGACTTTAATGATAGAAGTCAGAATAGAGCTACTTATTTCTCTAATTGGGATGTAACCTAATTTTTCTGAAAACAGGGATAATATTCATCTTGCAGGACTGCTGGGAAAATTGCAGATAATGTATATCTAACATCTAGTACCAAGTTCCTAGCACAGAATATTTGCTAATGAAATGATAGTTTGTATTCACATATGTTCTTAATTCATGTTAGTTTGATAATTGCCAAGTAAAAAGATAGTTTTACTAAACCCAAAGGTTCTGGTTGCATGTAACATTCATTGCCACCCAATAGCCATATCCCTTTTATTCCTTACTAATAAAATCCATATTCTTTTTCAGGACAGCTATGTGCCCAGCCCTGAAAGATAAAGCATGACAAGTCTAAGCCAATCAAGAAACTCTCATACCCCTTTGCCAGATATTCACTCTCCCAACTCCTCCTTGCGGCTAGGGGTGCCCATGTGCCCAGTTCTGGCCAATGAGATTTAAAGAGCAATTCTGATGGCAAATTGCTTAGGAAAGATTTCTCCTCTTTACTGAAAGGAGATAGACACACACGCTCTAGCTACCTCCTGTTTTCTGCCTTTGCACAAATGATTCCCAGAGCTATGACAACCATATTTTTACCGTGAGAATCATAAAGGTAATGACACACAGTCCTAAAATAGCAGAGTTATCTGTCACCTACCTTCAGACTTTTTGTCCTAAGAGTTAATTATCTTTATTATTTAAGCCACCATTAGTTAATTATTCTGTTACTTGTAGCTGAAATCATTCCTAACTGTGACTGTTTACTTATAAAGTACTAGTATACAAAAGAGAATCATAAACTGATAAGACATCTTACTGTGCTCTCTTTAATATTCCCGGTGTCTTCGTGGTGCTTTTATGAGTCTCCTCCTTACCAGTTTACTAAAATGTCATTTTCTAGTCAAATATCTTTCAATGGTATATGAACTCACTAATAAGACCAATAACTTTCCAAAGGCCTTTAGGGCTAAGACATACATTTAAAACTCAGGGAAATTCTACACAGTTGCTGACTCCTGTTGGAGGTTGACCAACTGCTAAACTCTGGCAGTAACACATAGTAACCTACATTTGCCCACAAGCACACCAGAGTGCCAATTCTGTAACTGTAAATACACTGTGAACAGTTGGTCCATCCAAGCAGGGCTCATTCCTGGTTGGCAAGGCAAATTACTATGATGTTAATAAAGTTCTAGGCCCCCTCCCTTGCATAAGCCGTTTTCATGCTTGGGACCCAAGCAATGTGTTCCCATAGTCATAAGCTTTTGTAAAACTTGTGAGCTAGGTTAACTAAAATCGGTTAAGACCTCTGTCTCTTTCCTCTCCAGCTTACCGTTTGTTACACCTGCTCTTCTGTAGGGTGTTAACTACAATCGGTTAAGACCTCTGACTCTTTCCTCTCCAGCTTACTGTCTGTTACATTTGCTCTTCTGTAGGGTGGTCTTTTTGTTTGTTTTGGAGATGGAGTCTTGCTCTGTCATCCAAGCTGGAGTGCAGTGACGCCATCTCAGCTCACAGCAACCTCCGCCTCCAGGGTTCAAGTGATTCTCCTGCCTCAGCCTCCCAAGTAGCTGGAATTACAGGCGCACACCACCACACCAAGCTAATTTTTTTTTTTTTGTATTTTTAGTAGAAATGGGGTTTCCCCATGTTGGCCATGCTGTTCTCAAACTCCTGACCTCAGGTGATCTGCCTGCCTTGGCCCTCCAAAGTGCTGGGATTACAGGCGTGAGCCACCGCACCTGGTCAAGGGTGATTTTAAAGAGGCAAGGGGTGATTGGATTCAGCTAAGGGGAAGCTGACTTGAAGAGACATAGAGTTTGGGTTAAGAAGGTTATTTATATGTGGTTCACTTCCATATCTAAGTTATTGTTAGCTATCGTGGTGCAGGAATGGCTTCCAGCAATATTTCCAATGCTCCTTTGCTACTCAACCAATATCTGACAGACAGGTGCAAAGCTAGAGGTCATATTGTGATTTTAATGTAACCTATTGTACTTGGCATTGGAAGTTTGTAGGTAATCACATAGACAAAGTTTTCAAAAGTATGAAACCAGAAGCTAGCCTGTGGAAAATTCTGCCAATCTTCAGTTATGTAAAAGTCTGAGCTGAGGATTTAATTCTCAAAGACGCCTGGTCAAAATGGAAGTTCTGTCCTGTTGAGAATATACATGATAAGCAGTATATGCAATTATAAACCCAATATTTTTTATTTTTGAGGTAAATCACACAAAATAGAATTTATCAGAAATCCTGTATTGTAGGACACAAACCAGTGCCAGGTTCACACTGACTGTGTCTGTTTAGTCATGTATTTTATACATCCCAATATGTTGGATCACATCGCATCCTGAAGACAAAGAGCAGATTTAGAGAAAAGAGAATGAAAAAGTATTCATCAATAAATTACAACAACCTAAAGAAACATTCCGGTGATAAAATCACCACACATATTTATAAAATAAGCCCATGTACGTAGTATAAGTAAGTAGCTTAATGCAATGATGTTTAAAATGGATTTTACTTACTCCTCTATGTACCTTAATTTCATGTAGCTTTGCGTATTTATTCAGAATTATTGATTATATTAAAATTCAAAAGAATTATAAAGGTATATGTAAGACAATTCATTAATAAAAGAATTACATAATTTTTCCTGGACTTTTGATGTTTGTGACGTATTTGTCAACATTTTATTCTTTTTTAATTTTTTTTCTTTCATGACAGACACGGCATGTGTGGATGTTGTAACAGGGTTTGAAGGAAGCATCTCACACAACTCACATGTGAGAACCCAATCATCACATTTATAAAACACAAAAGGATCAGCATTTTAAAATTTGTAATTTGTGGATTTTTCTCATTCCAAGTAAATAGTTGTTTACATACCCAATTTTTTATCTTTGTTTTTGTTTTAATTTTTTATTTCTTTTTTATTTTTTCTATTTTCTAGACAACCAATTTTTTATTCCTAACTTTGCATTCTTTTTCTTAAAGAAAGCCTCTGCCAAATTGTGTAAGCTCCTACCCCTGGTGATCAGGCAACAGTCATAATCAGTCAAGACTGCAAATGATATTTACCAATTTGGTTACCTTGGAAGTTCTTTCAATGTCAGGCTTTAAAAGGGCAAGAGTATTAACTGAGAAGAATTGAAGCCACTTTATTGAATGCCCTACATAGTTTGTTAGGTGAACATAACCTAATGTTAAAATAGAACACTTCTCACCTCAGTTTCTCCAGAGGGACTGACATTGTAGCTCTCAGGTACCAATGTGTGCATGGGACAGAACCCGGTAAGAGGAATCTAAAACAAAATAAACCCTGATGTTTGGGTTTGGTTTCAACATTTAAGGTCGTTTATCCAAGGGCTTCTTTCTCTCTTCAAGAATAGAAAAGATTTGTTGCAGAGTAAGAAGAAAGAAGAAAAATTCTAGTGAGAAGGATTTTTTGGAAGTTTTTGCTGTAAGCCTGAAGTCCTGTATCTCAAGAGGAAATAGGGGGTGAGGAGACACCTGAACCTCTCTCAAGTTTTGAGGGCCTTCAACACGGCCATTCTGAGAGTCTAATGTGAGTCACCTGAAGTTTGAAAGACAGTGGGCTGAGGGCTGATTTCTGCCCCAGAAAATCTGTAGAGTAAGAGAGAAGCTGGCCAATTGTGTTGAGGATGATGAAGCCAAAGCAAGTAGCTGCTACCTCTGGGAAATTCCTGCAACCCCAAGCCCCTGCAGTGGAAGGACAAGGCGTGTTCCCCCAGTGTACGACAGGATAGAGGACCAGCGATCCTGAGGCTGTGTGAGGCTCTATCAGAGAGGACCTCCTAGAAGGGGCAATGGGACTCCACAGTGTGTGGGGGTGGATCCTCTAAAGTGGGGAGCTGTCAGCAGAAGAAGGGGCATCAACACAGCTCCAGAGATCCCACAGAGGGGGTACCCCCCAAAAGAGTGCTCAAGAGAATATCAGCTTTAAATGTCAGCCCACACTCAGCACAAAGTCAAATTATGGCAGATAGGGCTGAGTAAGAAAATTCCCTTCTACTATTTTTGATTCCTCTCTTTATGTCCCAACCCTAGGGGCAAGCCTAATGAGGAAGAGGAGCAGGAAAAGAGAAATGAAGGATCAAGCCTTCCTCTCTCACTGCAGGCAGCCAGCTCATACTGGGGCTGCCCAAGAAAGGGAGACAATTCAACATTAAATAAAATTCAAGGTTTTAGATTTTTCCAGGGCTCGGTATTCTAATGTGTGGATTGGGCTGTGTTTGTAACTTAAAATGACCACAAGACAGACTGTAAATTACCTTGGGGTGAACTGTATTCATCCAAGGCAGGAAAAGATTACCATACAAAATAAACTTTATAGGATCAATAAGAACAAAAGTCAGGTTGTGTTTTTATCACATTCCACGTGTCACATTTGTTCAACACTTTTGTTACATTAAGAAGAACCTATTAGAAAGCCATAAATAACTTAAAACTTTAATAATGGTATTGATCTGATATCACTTTCTGATTGTTTTTCTTTGGGCTTTAGTGAAATCCATATTCCTAAGTGGCCAGATTCATGTCTCTGTCTTGATATTAATCTGAATCATTCATTCATTAACCCAACAAGTATTTATTGAGATCTAACGAGGTTAGCTTCCTAAGCTCTACTTTGGTCATGTCCAAGACCCCTACTCAAGAACCTTCTGTGAGTCCTCACTGTTTACAGCAGACAGGAATAACAGTGGGGTAGGGCTTTACCTCACCTCACCTCCCTCTCTCACTGTGTGTTCTGACATATGCCTTAGGTGCTGGGGGAGTGCCCTTACCTCCCCGTTCAACAGCCCACCCCCAATGCTGCCCTAAAAGCCACTGTGATGTGTCAGAGGATTCATTTAATTTGCTCTTACCAGAGCCCCTATCCTTTGCCCATCTAAATCACTTGGATAAAAAGGGAATTGAATTATATTTCATTTAGATTCAACTTACATTTTCTTTTTTTTTAATTTATTAAGCCAGGAATATGATATTCTCTCTTGGCAGCAGCCCAGCGATAATCGTTTAAGCCCAGATCCTTTCTCTAATGCCGTATCCTGGGGAGGGAAAGCTTATGGGGATTTCATGAGTGGTCCTGGTGAAATGACAGTTTATTTATCTCCAGGGGCTCTTTAGTCTCCACCTCTTGCACCTGTCCCAACAGAAGGTTTGGAGACTTTGGGGTCAAAGCAGTTTGATTGGGAGAAGAAGGACAGGAACAGCAGTTATAAATGTCTGACTACAGCCCACTTGTAAGAGATCTTTGCAGTTCACACAAATGAAGTGGACTTCAAATGCACTATTCTAGGACAATATGCCTCCCTAGTGTCTCCTTTGTGGCCGCCATATACCCCGTTTGGAAGAGAAAATTGTTCCTATGCAGCTTGTTTTATTTTTGTTTAATCGAATAAACAAGGGTTTTTCCATGTCAAAAATAAAATAAAATAAAATGAATTTTTGGCCGGGCGCAGTGGCTCACGCCTGTAATCCCAACACTTTGGGAGGCTGAGGCGGGTGGATCACTTGAAGTCAGGAGTTTGAGACCAGTCTGGCCAACATGGTGAAACCCTGTCTCTACTAAAAATACAAAAATTAGCCAGGCATGGTGGTGTGTGCCTGTAGTCCTGCTCAGGAGACCAAGGCACAAGAATTGCTTGAACCCTGGAGGCAGAGGTTGCAGTGAGCTGAGATCACGCCACTGCACTCCAGCCTGGGTGACAAGAGCAAGACTCCGTCTCAAAAAAAAAAAAAAAAAAGAATAAAAAAGAATTTTTGAATTAAGCGTGATTATCCTTTTGCAGCTTGTTGTACATTCAAAATACAAGTATTGGAAGATAAGATTAACACCTGTATTCTGTGCTTTTTAAATTTTTTTTTATTATTAGTGTTGTTACTCAATGTAACAATCACTTACTAAGCTACAGTGCTAAACGTCAGGGATTTAAAAGATCAACAAGAAAGGGGTTGGAGAGGGGGAGATTCGCGCTGAGGGAGTAATCCAGAGAGGCGGGTAGCCTGACCATAATCTTCAGCAGTTACCCGAAAGCCACCCAGGTAACATGATGAGGATGAAAATAAACAGAAAGTGAGAAATCTGGCGAAAAAATTAAAATGCTGCCTGGCAAGGTGGCTCACACCTGTAATTCCAGCACTTTGGGAGGCCGAGGTGGGAAGATCACTTGAGCTCAGGAGTTGGAGACCAGCCTGCACAGTATAGCAAGACTTCACCTCTACAAAAAAATAAAAACTAGCCTAGCATGCTGGTGCATGCCTGAAGTCCCAACTACTTGGGAAGCTGAGGTGGGAGGATGGCTTGAGCCTGGGAGGCAGAGGCTGTAGTGAGCCAAGATTGCACCACTGCATTCCAGGCTGGGTGACAGAGCAAGACCTTGTCTTTAAAAAAAAAAAAAGAAAGAAAAATGCTATCTTTATTGATCTAAGACCTGTAATTTCAAGACATATGCTTATTATGAAAATGCAGCTTCAAGACAAGACTTAGTCTCTTCTGCCCATCATATTTTAAAGCTGCCACAAAAGAAGTTTACGGTCTGTTGGAGTAAGAGATTGATGTGTGCACTAATAAATTACAAGACAGTAAATGCTATAATAGGGCAATGTATTTTCTTAATGAACCCTTTGTGGGATGGATCAAGAGTATTCATTTTCTTCTGGTAAACAGCAATCTGAACCCAAGAGATAATCCTTTCTCAAACACCCGATCAGCAATCAGCCAGCACTAATGTCTTGATATTTCTCAGGAATATACTCTAGTGGTTTCGCCTCCTGGAAGACGCTGTGAGGAAGATTGTCCTTGCAGCCCTGAGCCTGTTGCCACTCCTTACTAAGGGCCTTATTAAGGGCATGCCCGGAGCCATCACAGTCTGCTCTGTTTGGAAAGGGGTCTGGGCATCAAGACTTATCACTCTGAATACTGTGGGATTTTCTTCTACCTAAGACAAAAGAAAGAAGCAATCCCATTAATGTGTGCTTTTCAGGATCTGTTGGGTTTTTCATTTGTTACTGCTTTGGGAACTTTTTCTGTGTGCCAGCACAGGGCTACGCACTGGACATACCACGATGAGCAAGACGGATGTCCATGCCCTCATGGATCTTAGAGAACCTAAAAGATTCTCATTTCTCTCTGAATTCTTCACAGGATAAACTGCCCTGGCATTTTCAGTTTTCTTTTTCCTCCTTCACCAGGAAGACTGACCCAAGCTTTCTCCTTGGGGGCTGCCCCCAAAAGACTAGCTCAGTGTTATTCACACACCTGCAGATAGTTGTCCAGGTATATGAATTTCAGTGCATGAAAATAACATGCTTTCCCCGTGTTATTCTCTATCACGGCACTCTGTGTACTATCTTATTGGTGCTTACAGGCTGAAGTAATTAATTTTTCTACTTGTTCATTACCTGACCTTCTCACTGGAATGTAAACTCCATGGAGGCAAAGACCTTCTTAATATTCTCAGCTGAATCCTCAGTTCCTAATCAGCCCCTTGCATGCCACAGATGCTCAATATTTGTTGAATTAATAAATACATAGAAAGAAGGAAGGAAGAGAGAAAGAGAGTCAGAAAATGTTATGCAAGCCTTACCAAAAATAGGGGAACCTGATTTCCTAAGGACTTTACATATTCTTGAATGTGTTCCATTTATAAGGGAATCATGGGTCTGGCACAACATCTTTGACCAATGTCCAGAAGTCTACTAGAAATTTTCCTGGACATTCTCTCAGGGAAAACACTAAGTGAAGTAGTCTGGGCCTTGTGGACCTGGAGTCACACAACTGGAAAAGGTTTATTAGTTCTTGATATCACTGAGTAGAGAAGGAGAGAAAGAAACACAAACTCCTGGGCTCTAGGAAGCCAGCTCCACCTGTGGCTTAGATACATCCTTAGAAATAAGAGACAGGCAGGGTTTGCACGGGTCTGCAATGTTTTCCTTTAACCAAGGCCCACATTCTAATGAAATATATTTCTTGTTCGTATAAAACCACCCTTAAAAAGATTTTTTCCAACATCCATAAGTGTGTTTTTCTAGTTAGAGTTGACATAGGCTGAGAGTGAACCTATGTAATTGGCTAAGCAAGGATGCGTGCAGACGATGAGGCCATTATTGCAAGGAAATGCATATAATCAGGTAAGTATGATCCCTCAGAACTACAACGTTGGCGTGGGTTAACAATTTTAGATATTTGAAGTTATTGGTTTATTCATATTGTATGCATTTATTAAACATTTATTAAGCACATACTTATTCAATTACTAACATGGATGACTAAACCAAATCATGCCGGTTGGGGAGGGAAATGGTAGTGGCCACTACTGGGTGTCTCAGATGCTTAGTGGAGCTGTTTCATGATGCCATGGATTGGAGGTGCAGACGCACTGCTCCTGCACCTGGAGTGCAGTATTTCCCAGTCCATCTCCTGTGGGGTGAAAGTGCTTTTTGGTGCTATTGAGGGTACATGGGCATCATACAAAAAGCTTACATCAGAAGATACATTTTACTGCTGTTTATCAGTAGCCATCTATATGAAAATGCTGGTGAGGTCACTACTTGGATAATGTAGTACAAATGCAAACACTGGTAAGCAATCTAAATTATAACCACTTCATGTGTAAGAGAAGCACAAGGCCTGGCAGCCATTTGTAGGTAGATTACACTTTCAGTGCTAGAGCCAGAATTCACATTTCTCTGGATTTCCGGTTTGCCAGCAGGTACCATGTATGTAAGGTCCTCCTCTGCATGATACTGGGAAATAGTGGTCCTGGCACCCTTGCTTGTCAAGCAACAACAGTATAGCTGTCCTATCCCTAAACTGCCCCATGGAATTATGCCACTGTGCAGCCACTGTGGATCACTCTCTGGCATTGACTAATCTGCTACTGCTTTCTTTCTTTCTTTCTTTTCTTTTTCCTTTTTATTTCTTTTTTTATTTTATTTTATTTTATTTTTTGAGATGGAATATCAATCACTCTGTAGCCCAAGGTGGAGCACAGTGGCATGATCTCTGCTCACTGGTGCCTCCACCTCCTGGGCTCAAGCGATTCTCCCTGCCTCAGCCTCCCAAGTAGCTGGAACTATAGGTGCATGCCACCGCACCCAGCTGATTTTTTGTATTTTAGTAGAGACAGGGTTTTACCATGTTGCCCAGGGTGCTCTCGAACTCCTGAGGTCAGGCGATTCACCTGCCCCGACTTTCCAGAGTACTGGGATTACAGGCGTGAGCCACCACGCCCGGCTAATCTGCTGCTTTCTAATGATCCTGCCGCCACTGAATGTGAAATGTAGCTCACATATGCCACAAAACATTCAGAAAGTCCTTGACATAGAGGGTACCCTTGTATA